TTTCGTTTAAAACCACCAAAACAATGTTTTGTTTTAACATTTTTCTATTCTTCTAGAAAATCCCGCGATGTCATCATGAAATAGTGTGATAATATGCTGAATTCGTTCATAAATTTTGGAGCTAGCTTTCACCCTAGGAATGATTTGATTCATCATTTTCCATTGCTTTCTTTTTTTCGTGGAATTGATAATAAATGTTCCTAGTTGTACAATACTTTATCGGTTTTTTTTCATTTAATATAATAGTACTTAGGTCAATTAATGAGCTTGTATAAAGTATGTATTGTTTTAGTTCAATTTAAAATATTTTCTTTCGCCATGCTTTAGTGAATAAAAATGTATAAGCTATAATCATGGTAAAATGTCTATTTTATTTACCATATCAATTAAGTCGTCGACATTCACAATGGCCATCGATACAATGTCTGCTATTATGTCTACAATGATTTCCAAACCAGTAATTATGGCAGTCATCCAAGCTATTGCACGCTGAAATACATATGTGCATGTATCATTTAAACTATAACATTTATTCATTTCATTTATGTATAACTTGTTGAAATCCGGCACCATTTGTCAAATATTTGTTCTAAAAGCATCAAGTTGACACGGTTTATGTGGCTCTTGATTCTGCGGCATTTGCATGACAAGGGTCTTCACTTTACTTATTTATCGCAAGTTCAAGATTTTAATATAAAATGCTCATAAAGTCACAGAAATGAATACAAATATCTATGTAAAAGGCAAACCCGTGTTGCTGTGTTTTAATGTTATAACAATGTGATATATAATGTCCTTCATACTGAAAACTAAAGCAATAGCCAAAACGCAAAAGATGACCAATGAGTATCATAAATTAAACACTTGAAAAAAAAAAATAATAAAAAACTTCGAATTATAAAAAGTATTGCTTTTTATGGTTTTAATGAACCTTATATATTTATATATAGTCTATGCATAATATAGAGCAATTCATATTAAGATCACCTTTTTGTGATATTCAATGAATAATTGGAGTAGATACGTGGTCTATTTATTGTATCCAAATTTCCAGACAGATTAGATTTAAATTCAAAGCCCTTTGCTCGTAAAAAGGGGCCAGTTGTGTATGCTAGAGAACTGTAAAACGCAATTTTACTTGAAAATAGTGCCGCAACAATTTAAATGAATGAAGTTTAAACACAAGTGATGAAGAAGAAGTTGGCAGTCTTGATAAGTAACCTAATACGGTAACGGCATTTAATCGTTTTACCTGATTGGTCGGGAGCTGTGATACATGTGCAAATATTTGAGTCACAGGTTGGCGTAAATCCGGGAGCACACATGACATGTCCGCATGTTGTGGTGTCCGTGTTGATACAGTCTTCTGCCGCAGAGATGCCTAAATTGATTTGTGAAATTTTTATTAATCTTAGTAAACGTTTTTAAATTCATTTGCCGACATTCCAGTTTTACAGTTGAAGGGTTATTGTGTGTTATTTCTAACACGAACGAGTATCTCATAAGAGCGGAATTGTTGCCTCGATCAAATAAATGAAACGAGCTAGTTTAGTTTTGGAAACAAGCTTAAGGAGATGAGGCTCAAATTTTATTGTCAGTCAGTGACCTCAAACAAGGAAGCATCTATTAAATGAGACTACAATTATGTAAAAAATGTAATAAAATATCATTGTAAATATTATTATGTATTTTTTCATTATTTGAATTGTTACAAAATACGGCCTGCATGGGAAGAATCGATTATGAATTGATATGATTTTATCCTGAACTTCTATGGATAGTCATAATTATATAGAGCGGGTTTTGTCTAGTAAATAAAAGTAGTTCTCTGCCACTTTACACACATGAAACGTATATATGAACATATTTAACAATCAACAAAATATAAACACTGCTATATGAATGATTACATATGACTTTTTTTTCAAAACTATGAAATATTCTACCAATGTCTTAATGCATTGTTACGTGTGCATGCTGCATTTATTGTAGCTATGTATGTGCTAAGATAAACTCTAACGGTTGTTGTAGGCGAAACATTTGCTTCTCGCGGGACCATAATCATCGCCTTTTATTATCATATCAAAGTCTAATTTGTGACATAACAACTTGAAAATAAACATTTGGTCTAGCCAGGTCACCGCCAATGATTAAAGTGGTGCACTGAATGATGGCATAAGATATACTTCTTTAAAAGTAAACATACAAATTTTACAGTGCCCGTTTGAAACAAAAATCCGTTAATAATAATAACAAACGAATAATCAAAAAGGAAATAAAAACAGTATTTTTAGAAAAAAGAAAAAAAGTACAGCAGCTATCAACAGATTTTATACGGAAGATAAACGTGTACTTACCGATACAGACAACTAAAAGAAAGGCTATCTTCACGTACATGTTCAATTGACGTCCTTTAGGGAACAAATTGTCATAATGGAACTGCCAGTTGTGAAAATGGCTTTTATATGATATGGTATGAGAGGTGCGTGCGTTAGATTCTATAAATAGATTTTCTTTTCTCATGTAAAGCAACAATTTATTACATTTGAGCTTTGATCTTTATTCACGATTCGCTTCTTTTGGACAAATATGACTGAAAACATGCTCAAAACGTCCGTACTTTTATCAAAATATAACAAGGTTTATGAACTTATATGTGACAAACTTAAACCGTAAGAATTCGATGTCTCAAAAATGTTCAATAAAACTCAATATATCTTCGACCGGGGCTTGTATACTTTTTTGTGAAACAAATATAAGATGATAAAGATAATTTTGAAACCAGCAATGACTCAAACGTTTTAAGGATTCCTTTTTGATTACAAAGTTGATATAATTTTGGCTATTTAAAGGAAGATTATTTTGGCACATTTTGTTATGTAATGTACTGAATTAACATTAAAGATAAGAAATTGGATAAATGCTTGCATTAAGAAATATTACCAAAGTTTAAACAAAGTTTAAACCTATCAATGTGAAATGTTATATCCCCCAATCTCATTCATCACAAGTATCGCACTGAAATTGACAGCATCATCTCAGTTAATCATCTATAATATTCACCGGGTCTGGGGAGTTTGAGTTGGGGGAGCGTTGGACGAACCATACCTGTGTCTTGTAATAGAACATTGCTAAAATATATATTGTCGCGTATACAGAAGTGCACCAGAGCCCCCATATAATAATTCGAAATCACGTCATTCACATTGTAAGTTTTTTACTTTTTAAACATTTTTTTTTAAATAAAATTTAAAACTTTTTTAAGAAAAACGAAATGTAATTCTTCTCTTCTGACATTTTCGCTATCTGTACCCTTTTTTGTTTTAGATTTACATATAACGTTTATGGAGATATTCTTTCGGCGCTGGTCCTGGTGAGTCCAAACCATGCAATGCGTATACAAACAGAAAACGAACTTACAAGAATGTTTTCATGAAATCTGTTCACAGATAGATGCCAAACAAGGCAAGGCAAGGCTCGAGATAATTCAAATTCATTTTGTTTTTATTTTTTCAATATTTGTTTTGTTTTCTTTTCTTTTGGCAGAGGGTCGTATTTATCAGTTTTTCAAACGTTCATGGGGTACCACATGTATTTCAAAAAAGCATCAAAACACCAGAAAAATGGTGCCCGGTTTTCATCACCGAAGTAACTTTTCCGTTATGTTAAGTCCATTACTTTTCATGTTTTTTTCCGACTAGAAACGATGACATTTTCTATTATCTCAGAAGAAAATATGCTGCCAGATCATTTTTTCGCTCGCCTTCGTTTTCATTCCGACGCCTTTTCACATTTTCCCCCGAAGGTGAGATAACTCTAGCATTTTAAAACTGTGCAATTTACGTTTTGAATAAGCGGTGTTGTACGTTATCAACTTACAAATAATACTACAGTAAACAGTACAATCGGAAAAATGGCTTTAAGTTTTCAGAAATTTCAAACGATTTTGAAACGATTGAAATTGAAAATCTTTTCGTTTTTGAACGACAGCATTTGGAATTTAATTCGTGTTTGGTGACAAAGATAAAACAATGCCTATCTCTGGAGCCCTGGAAATCCTTATGGTACTTAACAAAGTAAAATTAACTCGTTATTTTCTCGCCATCACATAAAATAATTATATTGAATAAAATTCAACTTTTTTAATACTATATTATAGAATCTCATACTTGGAGTACAATGTGGATTTGATATGCAACTTTAGGACTCAGAACAAGGTGTGTAATATAATAGTACATGTACTACCATCATGCTGTTGTATTTATCGTTACTTATGTTGATTTTCTTTACTAGAACCCCTATCGCGGGACTTAATTGCTGTAAATATATAAATAATGAACAGAACTGATTGAGATGTAGAGAAATTATATTTACAAAAAGAAATGAACATACAATCATACATGTAAAGTAATATTTCATTCGTAAAATGTATTTAAGTAAATATGTATTCAAATATGAACTAAGTAAAGTTATTTCCCTTAGTTTATTATACATATTCTTTATTCATTACATCAAAAGTAATGTTTGTATAAACATGTTACAGTTAATTTCATTAAAACATGATTTATTTTTCAAAGAGCACATTAACTCTACACTAGCTTTTCTCTATATATGTTTTCATATGTCAATATTGATATTGTACAATCATATTTACGGGGCTGAGTAATTAACTGATCAATTAAATAAATAAAAATCTTTATACACATTGTCATGATCTGAATTCATCCTCTAATATTTAGACGCAGCCAAGATTAAAGGACTCCATCTTATGTGTTTCATTAAAACATGATTTATTTTTCAAAGAGCACATTAACTCTACACTAGCTTTTCTCTATATATGTTTTCATATGTCAATATTGATATTGTACAATCATATTTACGGGGCTGAGTAATTAACTGATCAATTAAATAAATAAAAATCTTTATACACATTGTCATGATCTGAATTCATCCTCTAATATTTAGACGCAGCCAAGATTAAAGGACTCCATCTTATGTGTTTAGGCTTTTTGACATCAGTTGAATTCCTGTAAGATTTCCCTAAGTAAAATCAAAGCACAGAAGGCGCTGAATTTGTTTGGGTCTCAGAATGTAAGAAAGGTGCAGGTTGTGAGATTATATGTATAGTGCCACCAATGCTTTCCAGCGTTTTAATTGTAGTAAATTGGCTATAAGACTAATTGCAACACTGATATTCAATCCAATGTTTATTTGACTTTAACAATTTGAAAAAAAAATGAGTTACCTTTACTGGGATTTGAACTCCAGACCTCTCGCTTCCTAAGCGAGCCCAAAAACCCTTCAGCCACGGTGAATTTATATGTGAACGGGCTGAAGAAAACCATATTATTCTAAATTAGGGCTTGTAACGACTTTAACTGTTGTTTAACACAGATGTAAATAATCCTGGAGCTTACTATAAGCATTTATATTTATAAAGAATCAAAGGGCTGCAAGTTCTGTGGTATTTTCTGATCTTTGCAATCTAAATCGTACTGTATATCTGTATGCATTTTCCTGTATAGGTATATTTTTATGTATTATAATTCATTTTGCAAGGCACCAGAGTTTGATACATACGGAATTCTGCATAACTAGAGTTGCATCAAAAAATCATTTATGTTCATTTTTTACTACAGCCACACTTTATCCTTGCATATCATGGCTACTTCCTTAACAAAAACACTTAAAAAAGAATTTAACAAAAAAAAAAGTTTCCTCGACTGGGATTCGAACTCGAGACCTCTCACTCACTAAGCGTGCGCGTTACCACTGTACCACGGAGAACTTATACTCAGAAATTCTGAATAATATCAAGTCATTCTAAATTTAGAACTTCCATATTGCATTTCGGGTTTGTAATCCTTATTAATTTCGAGGTATTTTGTTCAGGGTAAACCTGTTGTTTAAAACTGAAGTAAATATTTTAGCGAAAATCCTCTCGCCCAAACAGTCCGACATGTAGAATCTATATATTCCACTACTCGGTTTGTGTAGTATTCGGTAATAATTATAAATAGTATTTTCATTGATAAAATCATATTCATCCGCGTAATTTGTGATTGTGCATTTATTGACAATTCTATAAGCCAACGCTATTGTTTAACTTTAAATGCGTTGTAATTTGTTGGATACTTGTAACAAAATAAAATATTTCTTTCTTTTAAATCGCTAGTTTTAAGCTGTTTTGAGAACTACTTGTTGTTAGGTTTGTCGTAAACTTCTGTGTCAGAGATTGAATGTCCGCTTTGTATTTAGTTATTTTCGATCAGAAAATACAATAAAACAATATTAGAAATCTTCGACCATTCGGGAATTACTTTGCTTGAAAATTGATGCGCCTGTCTTTGACCATCTTTACGCAGTGATCTCCCCTGAATTTTTCGGCTTTAGTGTACATACAAAAGGGAAGTAACCGCTCCAAAAAAGTGGACTACTTTCGGCATTTGCAATTAACAACATTAGACTCTGAAATTTCGCTACCATTATTTGTTTGGTCTGACGACCCAAACAAATAAAAATCAAAGAATCATTTAAATGATAATACCGCTTATAATCTGATTTTTTACGGCCTTTCAATGCACACACATAAAATAACTTAATATGTTTGCCGCTTGATTGTTGGATTCAATTCATCTAAACACTCAGAAACATTCCAATGGTATATCATTACTAAAATAGCCAAGTGCAAGAAGATTGTTCAACTAACACGTAATAATATAAGTCTGAATTTAAAGTAAAATCTGGTTACATCAAAAGCTCTATTTATTTAGAATTTCCTTTTCATTTTTAGCATAATCACGAAACATTTTTGGTGAAATCTGCCAAATTCTAACTAAATGATAGTTTTATTGATCATTTTTAGACAAAACTTTTAACTGGTTACCATGGCAACCAACATAGACTTCACCAGAGTGTTTATTGTAGCAAATCGAATACGGATCTGGTATATTTTCATGCACGATCTTAACTTGCTTCAAGTCTTCTTTCACTTGATAAACTTTGTCATTACAACGACAGCAGACAAGTAATGATCTGTCATCTAGCATCAACAATCCACAGGGTCCACTAAGATCTGCATGTTTATATGCAACTCTAACTTCCTCTTGTAAGAATACACTCATCACACTGTCGTGACCAGAATCACTTATAAACATAAGTTTAGAATCCCTTCTCACAGCAATATACGGGGCAAAACCTATTGTCAGAAAATTCAGAGAGAAGTCATTCAGGATATCACCTTTTGTATTCAGTACAATCACACTAGGAGGAGACAAACAAGCAACATAAAAACAATCTTGATTAAGGTCTATACCATAGCATTCCCTACCCACTTTTATGCTGCGAATACATGATAGATTATCGTCTGTTGTCATGACAAATATGCTTTTGATACCAGGCATTGTAACAGCAAACTGATCTTGAGACATTACAGCAATATCCCATGGCCGTGTGTCTAGAGATTTCTCTTTTTGTACAAGTTTGTTCTCTATAGATACCAATTTTACCTTCTTGTTGTCAGTATCAGCTAGAACTAATTCATTCATGTTTAGAACAGCACATCCCGTAATGAAACTTTTTGCCATATCTGACTTAGTGTTAATATTGATATCTTCTTTTTCAATCAGATTATCACCATATTTTGTCTTCTTTGTAGTTTCATGACAATGAGGACTGACAATTTCGGCCATTTCTGAAATTATATAAAGCAACTAAAACATGTATATTTAAGCATCGGTTTATATCAAAACATGTCTAAAATAAACTTAAATAAGTTATCACAAGTAAGTTAATAATACTGAGTAATCCCTATAATAATCCCAAACGTTAAAAGCTTAGATTAACGATTAATCGACGATTTCTGTTTCTGATCAAAAACAACGAAAATAACCATTCACCGTTTAGAAATTAAACCCAGTTGCTTTCAATAGTTCAACACTCTACCTTTTGAGCTAAGGGTTATCATATAACTTTGAATCGGCTAAATAACTTGATTTCTGCATTGTAACTCTAAATCATATTAACCTTTTATTCATGAATGACTCATGAAAAGGCTATTTATAACAAAAATAAATAAATAAAATTTACTCATGTTGAATAATAAAACAAAATATTGTAAAAAGGTATCTGATCACGATTTATAATAACGACAATGACAAATATTGGCAGCTGGCCAAAATTAAAACTATAAACTATAAGAATAATATCTTAAACCCGTAATGTGATGTTATCATGTTGAAGTAACGATTATACGATAGTACGATTTTACATGAGTAACATTGTATTATCACGATTTTGTTATTATGCAAAATCTTCATTTTTTTAAATTCATTTTGTCTGTCGCCTCTTACAATCACACAGGAATAAACGATGGCTGTAATTATCATGTCTCAACTCTAAAAGGCAACCTCTCATCTGAAAGAGGCGTCTTTCGTGATCTGTTGTTTAAAAGTAACAATTAATTTTCAAATTTTAAAATCATAGCCGAACATAAGTAGATCATTACATTATATTTGAACAAGATCAGACAAAAAAAAGGAATTTACAAGAGTTTTTGATGGTCTCTATCTATTGTATTTGAATATTCAAAAATAAGAAGGCATTGTAGCACTTCCTTTTTCAGGTTATGGCATTAGCAAGAAATGTCCTGTAAAGCAGCATACATCATAAATAGTCTGTGATAATATTGTACTGTTATTTTGCAAGATAGAAATGTTTCGTTAAAATGATAATATTTCGTAATAAAAATCCCAAGATGTGACAAAAGTGACGTTTTCTCTATTTTAATTACAACATCAGTGTGATTTGTGCCATATGGAGACCTTAAAATGTCGCAACTACTATAATCAAAGATTTTATATTTTCCTTGAATATCGTTCAGCACGACATCTTATCTGTGATATACAGGCTTCAATTTACCAGCGTTTAATTTTAGACCTTTCAAATTGTATTTTGTTTAGTTTCGTCCATTATTTTTTATCGTTTAAGCAACACATTTTCTTTTACTTGGGGTCGATACGGTAATACGTCGCTTTTCATGGAATGGCAGAAAAGTGTCTCATCGAAGATTTCATAGTAACTTCCGTATGAACACATCTGTGACTGTTTTTGAATTCAAAATTTTACCAATGTCATGTTTAAATGTTGAATGCTGCTTAAGCTGCTGCTGTTGGGTGGACAGTAACTTGCACTTTCCAGAATCGTCCATGAACAGCCTCAAACAAACCTAGCCTGCAACATGTTCAGTCTGTCGTTTTGGGCGTTTTCTAGGGATTCCGTTTTTCTCTTTTTCATTTTACTCGGCTGACGTTACGATACATTGTGAATGAAATAGTTACCTTTACTTTCTTGTCAATATAAATCTGACATGATTGCCTAAGAACGCCAAAAACGGCAAAATTAAACTGCAGGCTTGGTTTGTTGAGCCTTGTTCACGGGTGGTACTTGAAAGAAAAATCTTCAGATCTACCGGTCACGCCCCCCCCCCTCCCTAGCACCGTCTTTAAACACGTGAAAAATACAAAATATTATCTAATTTGATAAAAAAGTATATTTCTTACCTTTTCTCATGTCAGGTATACTGTGTTCCAAAACGAGCTTTCCAAACTGTTCAAGATCTATTATAAAATATCATTTTTCGAATTTAATCAAACTATTGACCTACATTTTATCTCTAATTTCCGTACTTTAGTTTATGGAAAAAACGTCTATAAATAGCTTGTTCTAATTTATTCAAGGACAGTAATGATCGTATTTTTCCGCGGGTAATTCACTTGCATAATGATAATAAACCATGTCAACAATCAGAACGTCCTCAGAACGTCCTCGGCTATTTTTCATAATAACACTGGAGTTGATACGGATTGAAACTAGTTCTACCAAGTGGTTTAGATGTAAAATCAAAGTGCCGAAAGCACTGCAGTTGTTTCGTACTCGATGAAGGTGCATGACAAGCTCAAAATAACATTTTTGGGGAAGAGCTGCCGGTTGAAAAATATAAGGTGCACAATGTGGTTTAATCAATTATCATTTATTCTATAGCATGCATGTTTAAATATAATAGTTTGGTAACTTGTAATGTCATGTACAATTTGAGTTTGATATAATACATAAATATGTTGTCCTTAAGAATGTTCTGTTATAATATGAAATATATCCTGACAATAATACCAAAGTTATGCCTAGTAAAAATTTAAAATTTCAATGATTTGCCTTCAAAGTCAATGTCATTTATCAACGAAGTTTAGGGCTGTCTGGTCAACTTGAAGATCTTTACTACAAGATGTTCATGTTTACATATATTTCTGTTTTATTATAAGTGTCCCGGCTGATCTATGTAAGAACTGAACATTTTATGTTTTACCTTTAAATAAAATATCACTATAAATGAGGGGCATTCATTGGCAATTTAACTTCGTTTTTGAGTCTTGGTGCTTCAGAACTGACAACTAAGCCGGCAAGCCTTTTGACACACGCAACCTAAATACAAACACTTCCATTACGGATTACAGACTACATGATAAAGAAAAAATGTAAACGAACAAATAATCTCTTTCCATTCTTGCATGCTTATTAATAGAAAGAAATATAGTCAATAAATTCAAGTGGAACTGTATAGCTCGGAGAAATTATTTTTATGGTGTCATGTGGTTTATTGGCGTCACAGTTGACGTTCTCGGTGCTCTCGGGGAATTTTCTCTTTTAAGAAGTTTTGTATAAAACAGCGACTCACGACTGATATTTTGTACTTATTTCTAAAGTATATTCTTGTATTTAAAGGTTCCGGTAATAAGCGAGCAAATCCGACAATTTGAGGAGCAGAATGAAGACCAAACATTTTCAGCGTTCCTTATTCATAAATTAGGTCTGATAACAGGTTTCGTGATAATAATGATTCTGGTCATGTACTGATGAAATGTTGAAGTCTAACACTCGTTGAACGTCGACCAAAAGAAAAGCAAGCATTAGCAAAGAACCCTTATGTTTAAAACACAATTGATGTTGTTTGTTGTTGATGTTGTTTGTTGTTGATGTTGTTTGTTGTTGTTGTTTTGTTACGTTGTTAAAATAGCATACCTTATAATAAATTCGGTCACACAGCTATGTAAACATCAGATATTCATGAAAGGAATGTTGGCGGCCTGTATTGAATGCGAAAGCATACAGTTCTGTAAGGGTCATTTTAATATCATCCGAGTTTATTCGATGCCCGTGTTTACCTAGATAAAAATGTAAAACAACAATTTCCTCGATAGAACAGTAAATTATATGTTCGATGTTATCAATTATATATTGATTGCATTCACTTAAACTGGAACAGACTGCATTGTGGAAAATACCGAGTGTTCACGACCTTTTAACACAAATATTTCTCTAATCTTGTCGATCGCAAGGTCAAGATTTCAAGGTATATTTGTATCTTATACATATATCTTATCTTATTATTCTTACCAGATGCACTTATTTAAGACACATTATGCCTCATAACTAAATACGATTTTTCCTCTGAAGGAAAGGAAAACATGTGTTTGTAATGATTAATAATGCTTAAATGCTTATCATGTGAGAATAGCAGCACTAAATATGAAACAATTTGTCATACAAAAAGCAAAACATAAACAAAGTGATATGAAATACTAAATCACTACTAAACACTATTTCTCACTAAAGTACACTAAAAATACCAAAATTGCTGATGAGAAATGGAAATGATTGCCTTTTAAATTTTAACTAATAAGACTTTGTGTACTTGGTGTTCGTGTTATATCTATTTTACATGTAATTTATACTAGAGTCATTGTTTGTCATTTTCAATGACTCTAGGCCATGGTTATAGTTATAGTATGCACGTCTTCTGGAGGACGTGACTTTAGTTCAAAGTCATTTGTTTGTACTGGTTATAAATGTTATGCTTACTAAAGCATGTTTTATCGCTAACATATTGCTCCATATTTTACCCAATGTACGCGTGCCTGTAATTTAGAGCGGATATTATCCGACCTGCAACACATGACAGATAATTTCAATATAAAATTTTACGTAGCAGGAGGTATAAATGACTTATTATACTATTCTGTACGTGTCTAGTTGGTGTTGTTTTTAAGTTATTAGAAAATATTTATTGGCATTGTGAAAGAAAGACTGTTTTTTTGGTTTGGGAAAGTTTAGAATTGGGCATTATTTTTTTTCTTTTTAATTTTTGGAAACCCATCTGAAAGAACAAATCAAAACAATTTTTCCATTTTTAAAAAAGGGAAAAAACATTAAAATATTTTGACAATTTTTAAACCCCCTTTATGCGGGCTTTCCCTGGGTTTTCTGTAGTGTTCAAATTATTGTTGTTGTTTTTTCCCCCTAAAATGGCATCCTTTCCATTCCAACCAAAGCCCCAAAAATTATTTTACTGGTACTGGTTATGCAGAACGTACCTTTGCAGCGATTTTTTCAAGTACTGGTACTTTATACTGAATTTTTTAATTAAAAAATTTTTCTACTACTGGTACTTTGGGACTTGCCCGAATTTTTCTGGTTTTTAAAAATAATGGTCCTTTCTTACTCATTTTCCCTCACTTTTGGTTTTGATAAAAAATTAAAAATAACATCCAAAATTTTTTTTCAATTTAAAAAAAGCGTAAATTTTCATTAAATAATTTTTTTTTTGTTTAAAAAGTAAGTTATCAAATCTTAAAGATATTAATTTTTCTCCATTCTAAAAAATCCCTTTCAAAAAGAAAAAAAGTTATTTGTTTTAGCACCATAAAAAATTTTATTCTCTTTTGGGATAAATTTTAAACAGAGGTTTGAAAGGGGTGAAAAAGGGAACAAAAGAAATGTTTTTTGTTTTAAAAAGGAAGAAATTTTTTTTTGTATTCCCCCACAGGTTTTTATCCCGGTTACCTTTAAACAATTAGTTATGACATAAAAATATTTTGGGATAAATATTTTTTGTAAAAAAATTTTGTTTAAAAAATTAAAAAAAAGTGGAAATATTTAGTTTTAACCTTTTTAAAACAGGGACGCCTCCAATTCATTTCCCTTTTTTTTCATTTAAAATTTTTTTTAAAAATGTATTTTTTAAAAGGGGGAAAAATTTTTGTTAAAAAACAAAAGAAAAATACTGAAAAATTACCCCAAAAACGGAACTTTAAAAAAAACCACGTTAAAAATTTTCCAAAAAAAAGGGCAAATAAACATGCATAAATTTCCCCCACACTTGGGTTCCCGTTATAAGATTTTAAATATTGGTGAAAAATTAAAACAAAATACAGTTTTATTAAATTTGCACAAAGATTTTAATTTATTCCCTTGAAACTTTAATTTGTTTACTTTTTAAATTTTTTTTTCCAAAATTTAATTTTCTTTAAAATTTTTATTTTTTTGGGCATCTGGAGGCATTTTCAAACTTTTTAAAAATAAATTATGATTTTATTTTTTTGCTGGGGAATTTAAAATTTTCCCCAAATTAAATTTTTTTTGACCCTGTTTTTTATCAAAACTTTTTTTAAAGAAAAATAAAAAAATAAAAGGTACGATAAATTAATTACCAACCAAAAAAAAAAAGTACTTGGGACCCGCATAAAAAATGACTAAAAAATCTAAAAAAGGTTTTTCTTTTGGGACGGGGTTTAAAGCGTTTTTGCAAAAAATTTTTTCCAAAGTACCCCGGTATTAAGTACTTTCACCCCTTTTACTGATGCAGCTTTTGCACACAAAGAGACATACTCTAATTTTTTGGATACAGTCGAAAGTAGAATTATTAAATGGGCCCCCAAAATAAGCTCATTTTTTTAAAGGAAAATTTCGTCGCACTTGGTTTAAATTTTAAACCCAAACAATATAAAAAATAAGTTTTTTTTTGAAAAACGTCTTTGGGATGGGGGGGGAAAATTTTTACTTCTTTAAAAAAGAGTCTCAAAAATAAAAAAAGAAGTTTAAAAAATAAAAATACTAAAATCGCCATCTAGATTTTAAAATTTGGCCCCCTCAAGATTTTATAAATTTCCACTCTAGAAAAAATTTAAAAACGCCGCTCAAAATAATTTTAATTGCCCCCTCCAAAAAAATTTTAAAAAAACCCAAAACCCAAAAAATAAAAAATTGCCAAATCTTAAAATTAAAAATTGGGCCCCTCAAAGATTATTAAAAAACGCCCAAATTTTAAAAAATTTTTTTTTGATATCAAAAAATTTAATTTAAATTTTCTGTCAAAATTTTTTCTATGGGGGATCCGGACTGGGTTTTCACGGCAAATATTTGTGGTTTTACATTTTGGGGGTAAAATTTGGGCAGCACACGGACAGCCCCCAAAATTTTTTGGTGTCCGTATTGGTACCTCCCTTTTGCCGAAACGAAAAACCCAAAAATTTAAAAAAGTTTTGTTAGACTGATATAAAAAGTTCTAAAAATTGATTTATTTTACGGTCTTTTTTGGGAAAAAATAAAATAAACATGTTTTGATTTCACAAAAAATAAGAAAATTTAATTTTTTAAGATTATACCTATTGGTGGGCGCAATATGAATAATAGAGGGAAAATTTTTTTGTTTATTTTGAAAAATGAAAAACAATTACAAACACACAACAAACAAACAACCCTTTTTTTTTTATTTTACTTTAAAAAAAAACTTAAAACGAAAAATTTCCTTGAATTTTTAAAATTTTTATTTTTAAAAAATTTGTTTTTCCCAAAAATGGTTACCCCTTAATTTTTTACATGTTAATTTAAAAATCGAAATTTTTTTATTAAATACAAAAAAGTATTGGCTGAAAAAAATTTTGAAAAATCAAAGTTAAAATTTGGGGTTTTTTAAATTTTTCAAATTTTTAAATTAAAAAAATTTTATGAATTTTTCACCTTGCTTAAAAAATTAAAAAAAACAAAATTCTTTTGTAAGAGGAAAAAGTCAAACCATTTCCCCTCCCCTAATTTTTTTTAAAATTACCCCGCAAAAATTTTTATTAACCTTGGCCCTTTGAAAAGTAAGCGGCCCGCCCTTTTTTTTTTAAAATTGTTTTTTTTCAAAAGGGGGAAAGTTTTTGTTTACAAGTTAATGTAAGTTGGCTTAAAAATTGTTTTTCCCAAACCCCCTACCCCTGAAAAAATTTTAAAAAACATAGTCAAAATGGTTGAAATGGGTTTTTCCCCAAAAAGAACACATTCTTGAAAAAATTTTTTGAAAAACTTTTTTGGGGGACAGTTGGGGGCTTAATTTTTTGCACTGAATGGGGAAAAAGGGGTGGGTAAATGTTTTCCCCTACGAAAAACCGGGAAAAGGGCCCCTTTTTGTTTTAATTCAAAAGGAAAATCATTTGGTTTTTTGTCAAAACACAAAAAATTTTTTTAAAAAGAAAAAAAAAATTTATTTAAAGGATTTTACAGAAAAAATAAATAAGTTTTTGACAAAGTGGGAACACATTCAAAAACGGCTAAGGGAAAAAATTTGGATTTAAAGGGTGCCTTTCGAATGCTGAGTTGTTTTTAAAATTATTTTTTGGGTTGGGGTGGCTTTCCATTGTTTTTTCCCTAAAGGGATACGGCAGTTATTGCTCGTTTTGGATAACTTAAATATGCCCAAAATAATGTCAACGGGGAAATTTTTCATTGGGTTTTTAATTTAGAAAGTTAAATTTTTCAGACTGTAAATATTTTAAAAAAAAAAATTAAAAGGACGATATTGGTGATTGGTAATTTGGGAATTGAAATAGAAAAGTTTTCTTCTTTTTATTCCCCTTTTTTATTAAAATTCCCTTAATCAAAGTCAGCTTGCTTTTTCTCTTAAACAAGGGGCCCACATTTTAGAATTGTTTAGCCCAAAAATTTAAAAAAATTTTAAAAAGGTTTAAAACATGGGGAAATCTTTTAAAAAAGTATTTCGTTTTATTAAATTTTTTGTGAAAAATTTTATTTTTGATAATGTTCACCCGTGAAATTTAAAACAAAAGAATTTTCCAACCGGAATTAAATCCAAAATTTTAAATTTCCCCGGAAAACATAAAAAAAAATAAATGGCCCTTCAAAAAACTGGCAAGGGTAAAAAAAAAAATCAAACCTTCATTGTCCTTTAAAAACAGAAACTCAGGTTACCAAAAAAATGTTTAAATTTATTCTTTCATTCAGTGAAAAAAAAATAAAACTTCCCCGTCAAAAAATTTAATAAAAATTTTTCCAAATTTCTGTATTAAAAAAATTTTTCTCAAGGAAAAGAAGGGATAAAGTAATTTTTTTTATACTGGGTACCCTTTATACTATTTATCCCTTTTATCTGTAAAAAACCTTTCTTTTTTATACAATAAAATTTTTGAGAAGAAATGAATTTGCCATGTAAAAAAGAATTGTTTCCAAAGATTTTAAAGGGAAAGTTTTAAAGGGCCCAACAAAAGGGGGAAAATTAAAGTTTTCCCTTTGGCAACCTAAACCAAAATTTAAATTTGTTTGCATCAAATGAAAAAGGGAAATTTTGCTTTAAAAACGAATCATTTGCTTTTTAAGTTTAAAACTTATTATCTATTTTGGGTTAAAAGCAGCAAAAGCCTCCAGAATTTATGCAATTTTCCCTTAAGGGTTTTAAAGTGATTTAAAAGGAAAATATTTGTAAGTAACAAAAAAAAAAAAATTTTACAAAAATTTCAAACCCGCACTTACAATCCCCCAAAAGTAAATTACCAAAAAAAGAATTTAAATTAAAACAAAAAATCCTTTTTACTGCGATTATAAAAAAGGCCAAAAAATAAAAATTACAGTGGGTTTTTAAAACTGGGAAAATCAGTCATTAATCGCACATAACATGTAAATAATTAATTGAATATTGAATCTTTTTACTTTTCTTAAGATCTTATTTTATTTTTCTAAAAATTGAATTTCTTGAAATATTTTGGCTCATCTGGAGGCGTGCAGCTTTAAATTCACAGATTAAGATTGGTTGTTGCCAGGTTAGTGCCAATGGTTTAGATATATTGCAGTGAATTAAACCACTGGCTTGTCTTCAAAAAGAACCTTGAAAGTTAACACAAAATAAAATGAAATGAGTCTATTTTCAACAAAATATATTAAAACATAAAATAGGTGTTGAAAGAAAAGAAGTAAAGTGAAGAGCTGCTATCTAGAAGGATAATGCGATTTTACTTACCGATACAGACAATAATAAATGCTATCTTCATGTGCACGTTTAATGTCGTCCTGTAAAGTTAAGAGCAAAATCGTCATTTAAAGAAAATTTTGTAAAACCTGTAGGTTGGGTTTTACACCTTTAAAATTTACAAATGTAAAAAAATTAACGTCTTATGAAAATTTGGGGCTTTGATCGGGTGTTCAAGATACGCTGCCTTTTGGCCCAATCCCTGAACCCTTTTACGGAAGACATGAAAAAAGTAAATCAATTCTTCTTATCAAAAATACCTGGATATATTTTAAAATTTCCCTTTAACAAAATTTTTTTTTTCCCACAATGTAGAAACAAAATTCTTTTTTAATTTTCTTCAATGAAAAATTCCAAAGAATGGCCCCAATTATTTTATTTTTCTAATCTGAAAATACAAAGCATTTTTTTCTTATTTTTATTTGGGGGTTTTAGTTTAATTCCCCCCCTTTAAAATTTAAAACGGGGAAATTTTTTCCATAACGAAAGGTGTGTAAAAACCCTAAATTATTAAATTGCCCCTTTTTTCTTAAAAATAGGTTTAAACCATTTCTCAAGGAAAATTTTTTGGGAAAGAAAAAACCCCAAAAACACATTTTTTTATTGGTTTTTATTAGTTTTTTTGAATGTAGCATAAGTAGAAGGGAAACCACCCTTAATATCGGCCCTCTTTTTGGATATAGATTTTTAATGAAAAACTTAAAGTACGATAAAAATTTTTGTGAGCAAAATTTTCAATTTTGGAGTTTTCAAAGTCAGGGTATGTTATTTCCCGCCCCAAAACCCCCTTTCACAAGTCGTCTGTGATATTGGGGGTGGGGGGGGGGGTTTGGGCGCAAAGCAACTCAAACTCTTCCTCCGGGAGTCCGGGGCAAAAATTTAATTTTAAAATACCTCTCAAACCCCAATTGACCTTTACTACTTTTTCATACTATGGGCCTACACATTGTAGTAACATTTCACATCGTCTTGCCTCTATGTAGCTTTTTTTCCTCGGTAATAGTCAGCACATCGACAGCAACAGTGTGTGTTTATACTTTAAATAGGATACAATTAATGTACAAGTAAAATGGTTTCCTGCGGGGAACATTTTTGATGATATTAAGATATTTCATTTAACTATCTTCAACATTGTTTGGGTGGGTGGATAAATAAACGTTTGTATCAGGAATATAGTTGACAATAATCGATCAATATAGAAGAAGGTCTTTGGAAACTGGTGACCGTTAATGACCGGAGAAGGTCGAACATAAAACAATTATTTCTTTTTAAGAAAATGATTAAATAGGCCTACCATTTTATGAATAATTCCGAGCAAAAGAAAGAAGAAAAAAAGCAAACACACAAGTTTTCGCAGAAAACATCTCTATTTATTATGGCAGATGCCACTACGAATATTTTAATGTTGTAGATTTTCAGTATAAACAATTTTTTGTTTGTAACATTTTGAGATACGTATTAAAGAAACATTGATAATTTTCAAACACATCATTCAAGTTTTTCCACCTTAAACGGTATTATATTTAAAGAAAATAAAAAATATCACGTAATAGTTTTTTGTTCTTAATTAGGTGTAATTCTTATTCCCTAGAGGATTATCTGTAACGTACCGGCAAACGGTATTTAGCCAGGTTTTCGAAAAGGTCAATTAACCAATCATGTACGGTTTACAGATCACATGCTCCTCCATGTACCGAAAACAGGTCACGTGCTCCTCCATGCCTCAAAAGTTAAACGCGTACCAATACCCTGCGGTCTCCAGACCGCAGGGAATAATGTCTTACAAATAAGCCCATGAACACCATCTGAATTTTTCTTCATTATCATTACCAGGAAAATTGTGTTGTCTAACTTTATGCCTGATATAACGAGTGCCCTTTGCTTTGAAACATTATATTTTCTATTCAATTTTTTTCACATTACAGTTCTGCTGTTCTGTGTTTAAAAAACTACATTTGTATATGTATTCATATTTCATTTTATCATTTATCTTTCTTCATAATTCACCAGTTAGAAATAGAAAATTATTAATGAATAAATAACAAATTATAGCTTTTTTAAAAACTGTAAAAATAACAAATTAACAGGCCCGCGTGTTGAAATATAAGGCCGTTTTTTTTTAAAAAAACATTTCTGTTTCTTTGATTAGCTTAAAAGGCGAAAAATTTGTGGATTCATTTAATTGAGGCAAGATGAACAAATATGTACACGTTTGTCATGTAAGACCGTCTACCAATTTTAGTTCTTAAATCAAAATGCAAAATATTCAATCATCTATTATTAATAACAATCAATCAAGGGTAACAAAGTAAAACGAAAAGAAACAATAACGTCCCGGAATTAATTTCAGTTTTTACAATTAATTTTCTTAAAAAGGTTTATATCAATATTCCCTGAATATAAAATCCCATGTGTTGAATGTTGAGGATCATGACAACCTGAAAAAGAGATAAATTACCGAATCATGTGTTTCGTTTAAAACCACCAAAACAATGTCTTGTTTTAACATTTTTCTATTCTTCTAGAAAATCCTGCGATGTCATCATGAATTAGTGTGATAATATGCTGAATTTGTTCATTAATTTTTGAGCTAGCTTTCCCCCTAGGGATGATTTGATTCATCATTTTCCATTGCTATCTTTTTTTCGTGGAATTGATAATAAATGTTCCTGGTTGTACAATAGTTTATCGTTTTTTTTTCATTTAAAATAATAGTACTTTGGTCAAAAAATGAGCTTGTATAAAGTATGTATTGTTTTAGTTCAATTTGAAATATTTTCTTCCGCCGTGCTTTAGTGAATAAAAATGTATAAGCTATAATCATGGTAAAATGTCTATTTTATTTACCATATCAATTAAGACGTCGACATTCACAATGGCCATCGATACAATGTCTGCTATTATGTCTACAGTGATTTCCAAACCAGTAATTATGGCAGTCATCCAAGCTATTGCACGCTGAAATACATATGTGTTAATTAAGAGATAACATTTACTCATTTCATTTATGTATAGCTTGTTGAAATCCGGCACCATTTGTCACATATTTGTTCTAAAAGCATCAAGTTGACACGGTTTATGCGGCTCTTGATTCTGTGGCATTTGCATGACAAGGGTCTTCACTTTACTTATTTATCGAAAGTTCAAGATTTTAATATTAAATGCTCATAAAGTCACAGAAATGAATACAAATATCTATGTAAAAGGCAAATCCGTGTTGCTGTGTTTTAATGTTATAAAATGTGATATAATGTACTAAAGCAATAGCCAAAACGCAAAAGATGACCAATGAGTATCATAAATCAAACACTTGAAAAGAAAAAAAAAACTTCGAGATATTGCTTTTTATGGTTTTAATGAGCCTTATATATTTATATATAGTCTATGCATAATATAGAGCTATTCATATTAGGTTCACCTTTTTGTGATATTCAATGAATAATTGGAGTAGATACTTGGTCTATTTATTGTATCCAAATTTCCAGGCAGATTAGATATAAATCCAAAGCCCTTTGCTCGTAAAAAAGAGGCCAACTTTGTATACTAGAGAACTGTAAAACGCACTGTTATATTAAAATAGTGCCGCAACAATTAAAATGAATGAAGTTAAAACACAAGTGATGAGGAAGAAGTTTTGGCATCTTGATAAGTAAACCTAATACGGTAACGGCATTTAATGCGGTTTACTGATTGGTCGGGAGCTGTGTTACATGTGCAAATATTTAATTCACAAGTTGGCGTAAATTCCGGGTGCACACATGACATGTCCGCATGTTGTGGTGTCCGTGTTGATACAGTCTTCTGCCGCAGAGATGCCTAAAATATCTATTTGTGAAATTTTTATTAATCTTAGTAAACGTTTTTTTTAAATTCATTTGCCGACATTCCAGTTTTACAGTTGAAGGGTTATTGTGTGTTTATTTCTAACACGAAAGGTACCTCATAAGAGCGGAATTGTTCCTCGATCAAATAAATGAAACGAGCTAGTTTAGTTTTGGAAACAAGCTTAAGGAGATGAGGCTCAAATTTTATTGTCAGTCAGTCACCTCAAACAAGGACGCATCTATTAAATAAAACTACAAATATGTAAAATATATAATAAAATATCATTGTAAATATGAGTATGTATTTTTTCATTATTTGAATTGTTACAAAATACGGCCTTCATGGGAACAATTGACTGTAAATTGATATGACTTTATCCTGAACTTCTATGGATAGTCATAAGTATATAGAGCGGGTTTTATTTAGTAAATAAGAGTAGATCTCTGCCACTTTACACAAACGAAACGTATATGAACATATTTAACAACCAACAAAATATAAACACTGCTATATGAAGGATTGCATATGACTTTTTCGAGGAAATTTTCTACCAATGACTCATTAAAGGTGGGTTCATAATTGTCGCCTTTTATTATGCTATGAAAGTCTAATTTGTGACATAACAACTTTAAAATAAATATTTGGTCTAGCCAGGTCACCGCCAATGATTAGTGTCCAGCTTTATTTGTCATCCAATGAAAACGCTGTATTTCTTAAAAATTATGTGTGTTAATTTTCACAGAAGCAAAAAAATCGATAATATTTTGAAATCCGTTCATAGTCGCCTTCTATTTTTCATAGTGCTTCATAGTACCGCGTAGTGACGTAATCAAGGGCCAAATAAAGCTTGACACTAAATATGTTAGTGTTCATCCTTAGCTGTTCTACAGAAATTAGAAACATTCTCCTGTCACTATCGCTCCCGTCGAAGTTTCTAATTTCTGTAGAACAGCACGGATGAACACTAACATATACTTAAAGTGGTGCACTGAATGATGACATAAGAGTTCCTGTTTGAAAGTTAACATGCAAATTTTCAGTGTCGGTTTGAAACAAAAATCTGTTGAAATGGCAAACGAATACTCAAAAAGGAAATAAAAACATAATTTTTAGAAAAAAGAAAAAAGTTCAGCAGCTATCAACAGATTTTATATGGATGATAAACTTGTACTTACCGATAAAGACAACTAAAAGAAAGGCTATCTTCACGTACATGTTTGATTGACGTCCTTAAGGCAGCAACTTGTAAGAATGTGACTGCTAGATGTGAAAATGGCTTATATATGATATGGTTTGAGAGGTGCGTGCGTTAGACTCTATGAATAGATTTTCTTTTCTCATGTAAAGTAACAATTTATGACATTTGCGCTTTGATCTCTATTCACGATACGCTTCTTTTGGACAAATATGACTGAAAGCATGCTCAAAACGTCCGTTCTTTTATCAAAATATGACAAGGTACATGTACTTATATGTGACCAACTTAAACAGTGAGAAATCGGTGATAAATAAAAAAAGATGATAAATAAATCTCAATATACTTCAACGTTTTAAGGAATTTTTTTTTTGGTTTAACCGTTTATATAGTTTTGGCTATTTAAAGGAAGATATTTATTATTTTGGCACATTTATTCATGTTATGTCTTGAATTAAAATTAAAGATAAAGAATGGGATAAATACTTGCATTTAGAAATACTATCAAAGTTTAAACCTATGCATGAGGAATGTCTATTCCCCAATCTTATTCATCGCAAGTTTTGCACTGAAAATGACAGCATCATCTCAGTTAATCATCTACAATATTCATCGGTTGTGGAGAGTTGGAGTTGAGAGGGAGCGTTGGATGAACCATTCATGGGTCTCAAAATTTGACATTGGTGAAAATAAATATTGCCGCGTATCCAGAAGTACCCCAGAACCCCCATATGTGAAGTCGAAAGCATGTCATTCACATGATAAGTTTTTATCTTCTTTAACATTTTTTTCATGAAATTCAAAATTTTTTTGAAGAAAATTGAAATATAGAATAAACTCGTTATTTTCTCGCCATCACATAAAATATATCGAATTAAAAAATGTACCCAAAATCAACTGTGTTTTTAATACTATATTAAAGAATCTGATACTTGGAGTAGTATATGGATTTGATATGCAACTTAAGAGCTCAGAACAAGGTGTGAAATATAATGGTACTTGTAATACCACCATGCTGTTGTTTTTATTGTTACTTATGTTGATTTTCTTTACAGAACCTTTATCGAGGAACTTTATTGCTTAATATATATAAATGTTGAACAAAACTGATTGAGATGTAGCAAAATTATATTAACAAAAAGAAATGAACACACAAACATACATGTAAAGTTAATTGTCACACATAAAAGTAAAGTGTATTTAAGTAAATATGTATTCAAATATGAACTCAGTAAAGTTATTTCCCTTAGTTTATGATACATATTCTTTATTCATTACATCAAAAATGATGTTTGTATAAACATGTTACAGTTAATTTCATTAAAACATGATTTATTTTTCAAAGAGCACATAAACTCTACACTAGCTTTTCACTATATATGTTTTCATATGTCAATATTGATATTGTACAATCATATTTACGGGGCTGAGTAATTAACTGATCAATGAAATAAATAAAAATCTTTATACACATTGTCATGATCTGAACTTATCCTCTGATATTTAGACGCAGCCAAGATTAAAGGACTCCGTCTTATGTGTTTAGGCTTTTTGACATCAGTTGAATTCCTGTAAGATTTCCCTAAGTAAAAAATCAAAGAATCATTTAAATGATGATACCGCTTATAATCTGATTTTTTACAGCCTTTCAATGCACACACATAAAATAACTTAGTATGTTTGCCGCTTGATTGTTGGATTCAATTCATCTAAACACTCGGAAACATTCCAATGGTATATCATTACTAAAATAGCCAAGTGCAAGAAGATTGTTCAACTAACACGTAATAATATAAGTCTGAATTTAAAGTAAAATCTGGTTACATCAAAAGCTCTATTTTTTTTAGAATTTCCTTTTCATTTTTAGCATAATCACGAAACAGTTTTGGTGCAATCCTAAATGATAGTTTTATTGATCATTTTTAGACAAAACTTTTAACTGGTTACCATGGCAACCAACATAGACTTCACCAGAGTGTTTATTGTAGCATATCGAATACGGATCTGGTATATTTTCATGCACGATCTTAACTTGCTTCAAGTCTTCTTTCACTTGATAAATTTTGTCATTACAACGACAGCAGACAAGTAATGATCTGTCATCTAGCATCAACAATCCACAGAGTCCACTAAGATCTGCATGTTTATATGCAACTCTAACTTCCCCTTGTAAGGATACACTCATCACACTGTTGTGACCAGAATCACTTATAAACATAAGTTTAGGATCCCTACTCACAGCAATATACGGGGCAAAACCTATTGTCAGAAAATTCAGAGAGAAGTTATACAGGATATCACCTTTTATATTCAGTACAATCACACTAGGAGGAGACAAACAAGCAACATAAAGGCAATCTTGATTAAAGTCTATACCATAGCATTCCCTACCCACTTTTATACTGCGAACATATGATAGCTTATCGTCTGTTGTCATGACAACTATGTTTTTGATAACAGGCATTGTTACAGCAAACTGATCCTGAGACATTACAGCAATATCCCATGGCCGTGTGTCTAGAGCTCTCTCTTTTTGTACTAGTCTGTTCTCTATAGATACCAATTTTACCTTCTTGTTCTCATTATCAGCTAGAACTAATTCATTCATGTTTAGAACAGCACATCCCGTAATGAAACTTGTTGTTTTATCTGACTTAGTTTGAACATTGATACCTTCTTTTACGATCAGATCATCATCATATTTTGTCTTCTTTGTAGCTTCATGACCAGGAGGATTGACAATTTCACCAAATACCCTTTTCTTGGTCAATACGGTTTCGAGGTCAGCATTTCGTTGGAATGAGTAGTGAATAGTGGTGTTCATTAATGATTCTTGTGCTTCATTTAATATATCTGATTTCAGTACAGACTCAGAACGCTTAATATCAATGTAGACTTGACCATTCTGATGTTTTGCCTTGCTTAAATGAAGCCTTGACTGCAAGCTATTAATATCAGAAATTATATTTCCGCATTTATCAAGGACCATCTGAACAATTCTGCAGTTGTTTGACTTAATTCCTTCAGTGTCTTTCAGAACATCTTGTTGCATCCGATCGAGTCGGTCGTTTATGTCTTTACGAAATTCTGTAATTGCCTGGATGATTTCTTTATTGTTATCATTTATATCGCAACTACTACGTTTAGCCCTCTCAGAAATTTCTTCTGCTTCTTTTAATTTCTCCCCGAGTTTCTGCATGACGTCGTCAAAGTCCTTGTCGTCTGCAATACCTGTGCATTTTTCAGGAATGTTATCAATTTTGCACGTTCTATGGTCTAGATGTATGCAACCTTTACATCCGAGCGCATGGTGTGATGGACAATAAAAATTGATAATTTCTTTTTTGTGAATTGAACAATGTTCGGTGCATTCGTTGTATGGTTCTTGCGTTGCCTGGAGCTTATCAAAATCATCTTTTCTTAGAATTTGGTGACTCCGGGATATTTTTGCCTTCTTGTGACAATCTAGACAGTTACAACAAAGGTATTCTTGACAAGTCACGCAAAATCCATGTGCCTCTACGTGCTGACCTGTGGTAAGACATGGCTCACAACAGTAATCAAAGTCTTCTGTTGATCCTGCTGCTATAGATCCTAGCAGGTCACTTTGTTTACGCCCTGATACGGCCATGTCTGAATTAATATAAAATAACAAAAGAATGTATATTTAAGCATCGACTCATATTAAAACATGTCTAAAATATTGTTTAAGTAGTTACAGCATTTGAGAGCTTAGGATAACGATTACTCGACGATTTTCCTTTTTGATCAAGTGTAACGAAAGTCATCTTCAACGTCCGGAAATAAAATCGCGTCGCCCGATTCACAGTCCAACTATTTTTCTATTGATCTAACCGGACGGTGATGTGGTCCTGCGCATGCACTTCTTAAAGTATTTGAATCGGCTTAATTCCTTCCCACAACTACGCTTAGCCTTAACTAAATTTCTGCATTGTATTTCTCAGTCTTATCAATTTTTATTCATGATTGACTCATAAAAATTCTATTTACATTAATAAGAAAAATAAATAAATTAAGTTTCCTCTTGTTGAATCATAATATCCATTATCGAAAAATGAAGTTGATTATAATTTATAATTACGACAATGACAAATATTGGCAGTGGACCAAGAAGAAAAACTGTAAACTATAAAGAATAATAAGTCACTTAGATATAGTCCGAACGAACATGTATCACTGCACATTACCATCGTAAAGCGATAGCACGAATATGAAATTGCAATGGCACGATTGTGAAAATGCGATGGTAGACCTACGATGGTGAACACGCGATGGCACGATGGTGAAAACGAGTTGGTAGGCCAATGTTGGGGTATATAAATCACAGTGAAAAAATGGCACGATGGTATCATGGTAGGCCACCAATGCTGACCACGCGACGACACGATGGTGAAAACGAGATGGTAAGCCAACAATGTGAGACACGATGCTTTTGTGGTTAAAAAATCTACAATATAAGACTTGTAAAATCACAATGGCACGACAACGATATCATGTCATGTTTAAATGATAGATTCTTGCTGAAGTGATTGATGGCGGTAGTTATTTTTTAATCGAAGGTTACTTGTGTACTTTGCAAACCATTCAGTTTTAAAAAGGATTTACAACAAATAGATATATTTGATAATAATTTCAATTAAAAATGCAAACACATACCACTTTGAAAAGAAAAAAAAGAAGAAATGATTTGACTTTCAAAGTACGAGTATTTAAAGAAACAAAGTCCAATCGTATTTATCTTACATATGTGACGTTGTTATCGTCCTTTGTTAAACCTGTTATCAGGCATATCACAATTCAATAATCTTGTTCACGATAAACTATATTCATTTTAATTTACTTCAAAATTATTGGTGCAGCAAAAGGTCAACGCAAAATTAAAAAAAAAAACGACACAATTGAAATATATAGGACAAATATGCATGCAATGTGTATATAAATTATTCAAATAAAAAGTTTGTCCTGGTTTGTGTTTAGATATACGGCACTCTAACACAGTTTAGGTCATATGGCACCGAAACAGGAATGCTGATTTTGGCTAACCTCAGGCAGCAACGCCAAGGATCAAAATCGCCTCACCTGCTGGGGCTAAGAAATGCAAAGACACCTAATTTGTGAAGCCATTTTGTCGCCTCTTCGATCACGCAGGAATAAACGATGGCTGTAATTTTTATGCCTCAACTCTTAAAGGCAACCTCTCAGACACAAGGGGAATCTTCTGTTGTTTAATAGTAACAATAAATTTTAACGGAAAGTAATAGCCGAAAATATAAGTAAATCGTAACATTTATTTTGAACACGTTAAGACAAAAAATTAATCTACAAGGTTTTTTATTGGTTCCTGTCTATTCACTTTCAATATTCAAAAAATAAGTAACAATATAGTACTAACTTATTATTTTTTTAGGTTATGGCATGAGGTAAAAATGGCCTGTTAAGCAACATACGTCATTAATAAAGATTCTGTGATAATATTGTATTGTTATATTGCAAGATTGAAATTTTTCATTTAAGTGAAAATATTTCGCAATAATAACCCCAAAAGTGACGAAAGTTACATTTTTCTCTATTTGATTGCTACATCAGTGTGATTTGTGCCGTATGGAGGCCGTAAAAAGTCGCCCCGTTGAGGTTGACATATTATTGTATTGTGTACATGTTTGTGGTATTTTCAGTTCATTTTTTTACCTTTTTCAACTTTTGTGGTTCCAGTATTCCTCCCTGAATACTGTATAACCCTTACGATATGGTGCTTGTTTTTTTAGATTTTTCTTCTAACATCTTATCTGTGGTATGTAGGCTACAATGTACTAGTTGTAGAATTTAAGACCTTTCAAAATTCCATTTGCTTTAGTTCCGCCCTTTTTGTTTTTATCGTTTAAGCAACACACTTTCTTTTACTTGGGGACAATACAGTGATACGTCGCTTTTCATGGAATGACACGTAAGTGTCTCATTGTAGTTTTTATAATAACTGCCGCATGAACACATCTTCGAATGTTCTGATTTCAAAATTTCGCCATTTTCATGTTTTAATGTTGACTTCTGCTTAAGCCGGTGCTAAGGGGCATGGACAGTAACTTGCACTTTGCAGTATCGTCCATGAACAGGCACAATCATGCAACATGTTTAGTTTGTCGTTTCAGGCGTTCTCAAGGGATTCCGTTTTTTCTTTTTCTATTTCAATTTTCTTCACTGACGTTATGTTACATGGTTATTGAAATAGTTATTTTTACTTTTCTGTCTGCATGTTTAAAATAAATCTGACAGGATTGCCCAAAAGCGCCAAAAACGGCAAAATTAAAAGTTGCAGGCTCGGTTTGTTGAGCCTTGTTCGTGGTACTGGAAAGTACAATCTACAGCCCTACTGGTCACGCCCCTTCCTCAAGCACCATATTTAAACACGTAAACAAATTAAAAAAATATATAAATTAAATTTGATGAAAAAAATATTTCTTACCTTTCCTGTTTTCGGGTATACAGTTTACTTAATATAAGCTTTCCAAATTGACCAAGAGCAATTATAAAATACCGTGTTTTTCATTTAGTTTAATCAAACCATATGACCTACACGTTTATCTCTCATTACCTTACTTCCGTTTATGGAAAAACGTTTATTAATAGCACGTTCTAATTTATTTAAGACCAGTAATGATAATATGTTTTCCGCAGTTAACTCCCTTTGATAACAAATAAATCATATTTCATAAGAATACAAGACTGAAGTAAATAAATGTTTATTAGAGTAACTTTACAGAGATACATTGTACGAGATAAACGCTAGTTTTTTTTAATATAAATAAACTGTATTTGTACAAAAACAGTCTTTGCTAAAATTTGAGGAAAGGGTAATTATTGCTTAATCAATCGCTATTTGAAACTCGCCCCTCTTAATATTCAATTTCCCTTAATAAAAAGCTGGCTATCTGATATAATGTTCCTGTACGTTTAAGAAGGTTAATGACTCTGAGTTTTTGTTTTGTTTCACAGATAGCGATGGGGCAAGAAACAGTTAATGACCAGGGATGTTTCTAGACAATATAATTATTTCTGATTATCTCGATTGACACCAAAACAGTCTATGAGCCTGTCAGAAACAGTCGCAGATCGGTGGAATGGACTCCGGACCGAAGGGTGATTACACATCAAAGATCTCATTATCTCCCATGGAATCAAAAATCATGAAAGTTTTCGATAGTGCAAGAAACAGTCGTAGACTGGTGCAATGCACTTCGGAGTTTTTCGAGACATCAAAGATGTCATAATGTCAATTGACATCAAATTTCATGAAAATCTGAGACAATATAAACGCTATATATATAATGTAAGAAAGTAGTTTTACAGTCTTTTGATCACTTAAAATAATTTCAAAGTAGCTGGGAGAATGAGTTATTCGATTGAACTGTAATGTTAAAAAACCCATGCATTTTAAGCCAACAAATTTCTTAAACGCCATATGTCATTCTTGCATTTTTTTCATGGTACATGTCATTTTCTTTCTCTCTTTTATTTCTTATTTCCTTTTTTATCTTATTTTTATTTATTTTCTTAGACTTGCAATCGTTTGTTATAGATGAATATTGGGTAAGTTAATCTCGTACAAACAATAAAATGACAACACGTACCAAACACCCATTGCTTGGATCCTTAACCTTGTCGTTATTATATAAATACATAAATATATATTTTTTTCTGTCTTACTTATTTCTTTCATTGTTTTATTTTTTATGTTAATCTGTCTTTTTTTTTCTTTGTTCGCTTTATATGTATACATGTCACACTTTCTCATATAAATGCCATCAATGTTGATTAATATATTTTTCTGGGGGAGGGCCGATCGCTAATGTTGTAAGGACTTGGGCCCAACTCTTTTGCTATTTGTTATTTCGAAATCAATTTGTTTCTCTGTATATTTACATGTATATATAAGCAATAAAATATGAATAAACAAATCCATTGGTTGGTGAAAACTAAAACTTTTTGTTCAAAATTTGTAATTTCAAGTGGCTGTGTAATATGTAATGAACGTGAAGAAAATATATTGAAGAGCACACTATATCAGTATCATGGAACAGTTTTTGGTTGTAAACGAGCACATTCAAAACATTACATTCTACGTTACTAGACATAAAAGCATTCATAACTGTATTAAAAGTTTATTTCATTAAAAGTACGATTTCACTACATTTTTGAACATTTGAACAAAATTCATCCGAGAAGACCATGGTGTTGAATATTCCTTCCCTTTCAAAACGCACTGGAAAAGAACAATAACCAACTATTTCATATGCATAAGATAGACTATAGATATCAAACTCCTCACAGTGATTACCTCCCTTGGCAGATTGTACAGATAAGGGGAGATCACTGCGTAGGAGATTGTACAGATATACGAGTACATGTATTAGAATATGTATATCACTGACTAATGAATGCGGTTTAAAAACTGAATGCGAATATTATCTTTTATTAAATATATTTGTATTGGATTAGAATAGTTTTATCCATAACGAATATTTCAATTATAATTGAATATTTGCATTCTTAACATATATATTTTAATTGAATCAGATTAACTATATTCATAATGAATATATCAATCCAATTTTTGTAATTGAATTAGTAAACAATTTTTTTTTTTGCATTCAAAACGAACATTGGAATCCGAATTTCGAATTGTATTAGAATATTAACATTCAAAACGAATATTTAAATCCGATTTTTGAATTGAATGCAAATATTTGCATTAATAACGAACAAATAAATAAACTAGCAAAATCAATGGCATTTTTTCAATTATTCTCACTCTTAAAGAACATTCGAATACGAAGTTTAAATTGAATTCGAATATTCGCATCATTATAGTACTTACTACAATTTAAAACATTTTCCCCGATATTTAACAAATAAAATACCTTGTCTATAGGCGCCGACATTCGCAATGTCCGTCTATACAGTGTCTGTCCCTAAATCTACAGTGATCATTGGCCCAGTAACCGTCACAGTCACTTAAGGTTGCACATGCTGTAATATAAATATATCATGGAACATTATGCCTACCATAAGCATTTTTCAATGAACATAAAGGAAATAGTGATATTGGAAGCATATTATACGAAAGCTTTACAAATCACTAATTTCTGAAATTATGGGTGACCTCTTTCCCACCCCGCCCCGGACGTGGCCAGTCGCCTTTTGGTAGTGGGCTTAACGCCAATTAGGAGCATAAAATAGACTTGCATAGAAGGTAGACCTAAACACGTATTCAAAAATATACATCCGTGCAATAAAACGGCCTTAACATTTCAATATTTTTCATTTCCCATAAACTTTTTTTTATTTTTCTATATTCATTTAAAAGCCATGTTCATCTGGGCAACCACACGTGTTCTTTGGCGCCATGAAGCTGATAAAATACGAATACACGCTAATAGCTCAGTGCTTTCCTTCCTTTCATTTTTTTATATAGCTCAGTGCTTTCCTTCCTTTCATTTTTTTTTAAATTAAAATTCTTTCTTTTAAGCGTCTACAAACCACGATGATGTCTCTTTATCTGTGTTAGGGTGCTACATTATGTTTTATATAATAAAAACAACTTTTGATAACTTTGAGAGTGATTGTATAATGAAGAGGTAAATAACCAAGTATATGCCTTCGGCCTCCGTTAATGTCACATAAGCGAGGTCCATAAAATTGGATATTCACTTCATCGCACAATATTTATTATAATAACTGCTATCAGATTAACAATTAAAAATTTCTAAAAAAAAAACACGTGGTTTATTACTAAAAATAAATAGCAAGACGTCTGAGATCTCGTTTGACAGACGACTCCGTTTTTTTTTGTAGTTGATTATCTTCATGTTTTTGTTGACAAAAATGTGGGTAAATCATATTTAGGACCTTTGACCTTTTTCATAATTTGAGAACGAAGGATAGATTAAAATGCCAGATTTGGTTATACAGGCTGGTTTGCACAGTTTTTGTGATTGTTGATGAACCGTCAATATTCTAGTAGCCTTTACTTTTGGGGTCGACCGATAACTTTACTAACATAACGTAAACGTAAAAGTTAAAAATCAACACAACAACAACAACAACAAAAAGAAGACTTTTAAAATTATTGAAGTCGGAACTACTTGCGTGTTTACTTAAAAATGAATTGTTACTCTGTATAAAGACTGTGTATCTTTGACAAAACAGCAATATCGTCACTCTTGTATAGCGTACAATTAAAAAACAATACAATCAAAATTCTAAACTATAAAATTACTTGATCTATCTGGGGCTGGGTCGCACGTGCACACATTCGTTACACAAGTAGGTGTATATCCGTCGGAACATAATACGTGTCCACAAGTTGTGGTGTCAGTGTTCGTACAATTTTCAGCAAAAATCATGCCTAAATTTGATAGAGAAGAAAAATAATTAGAATCAAACTGTTGCTTGCCCTATAAAAAAGTCTACTTGAACACACGAACTTGAAATTCTATCAATATTAACGATAATATGCAAAATCTACCCCCATATAATATAGAATTATATAAGTTATCATTAATATTGGTTATTTGATAGAATTTCAAGTTCCTGTGACTTGATTAACATAGTAGTGTTTTAAATAAAGATTTATTCATATAACTGCCATTATATATATTTTTTTCAGCATTTATTTCTGGGTGAAAATGACAACATAAGTAACAGCGGCCACTTTAGAACAGCTTCAGAACTTCCGGTGTAATCCAGTTATAAAAGTAAAGTCAAAAATATCGAAAATTATTTTATGAGCCCGCATAGCTCAATCGGTTAGAGCGCGAGACTTGTAATCTCGACATTGTGGGTTCGATTCCCGAGCTGGCCAACTTAAATTAGTAATCAGTCTTTCGGATGAGACTTTAAATCGAGATCCCGTATATGGGTGCTTAAACACTTGGCACGCTTAAGAATAAGGAGAAGCTTCTGGAATTGGGTCGTCTTTCTGTATCTGTAATTGTACTATCCTCCAAAATCTAAAATGACTTATACTCTTCTGGAGGACTCGCCCATGTGGGCAGCCGGTGGCGAGTATAAATTTACGCAAATGCACACTCGAAAACCACCTCAACTCATAAGCCATTTAGTACCGGTGTGCACACTTACGTTTTTCACGGCTCTTGCAGATTTCATGCCACACCAGTACAGTTTGCTGTTTATTACATGTATATATTACCACTCTTGAACATAAAGAACCATTTACATGTATAATAATAAACAAACACTTACCGACACAGATCACTAAAGCAAACGCTATCTTCACGTACATGTTTAATTTTCGTCCTTTGGTAGCAAACCGTAATAATGAAACTGGAAATTGTGAAAGCGGCTTTTATATGGTATAACAAACGCGTGCGCTGATGTCATGGTTGTGTCCAAATGATCTTTTGAATATGTGAATTAGTAACCAATAACCTTTCAAATTGACCTCTATTCACGAATCATCCCTTTTAGACGACTATGACCTGAAGCGTGCCAATTATCTTGTTCAAAATGACACGAACAATTAAGACAGAGATTAACATATTGCGTTTCTCACATAGCGTAGTACTTGTTTATAAAATAAAAGAAAATAAAGTAGGGAAATGTGGCAACATCGTAAAAAGCAATTTTAACGTTGTCGGGTTATGCGTTGCCGATCATGTCATTTTTGGCTCTATTTAATTGAGCCATTTCCTTGAAGGCAGTTGTCAGTACTTGGTACCAAACAAAGCAACAGCATGTGTTATTATGAGGTTAATATGAAAAAGGCAAAGCCTTAAAGCGAGCTCGATTTACTTTTACCGAGAAATAGTATAAAATAATCGTTCATTTTTATTTTATGTTTTCCGTTTCCGTTTATTTTGACCCCTGTTCCTATAATGTTTCCTAATGAAGTGCGCAGGACACCAGTCTACGCATCCGTTTTCAATCAGAATACCTTGGCTATAATCGTTATCTTGTAATTCGAAAAGTTGCGATGTGTCAATTCAGTACTTCCGTCGAACGTTTACAAAACCATTACAGTTAAGCAGGTACTTGCGTTACCGTAAAGCTCGCTGTGCGAGCAGGCCCTTCGGGCCAGCTCTTCGAGCTTGCTAATACATGTATAAATTTAGGCAAAGCCTATGAACGGAAAAGTGGGTTTAAAAATCGTTTATTTTTCCGTTTGAAGGGTGTCATTTTGTATTTCATGCACCGCTTTCTTTTTCACTGGGAAAACCCGACGATTATTATTAAACCGAAAGTTGCGAAAGTTCCGTTATCGGAATACCCCGCCTATTATCATTGAATAACATTGAAAATGGCAGCGCCACTGTTTCTTTTTTAATTGATAAATATAGAATTCTATATGTTCTTGTATTTTTTATTTGATTTCCTTTTGATATACGCGTGTGGTCTTAAGGTTGGCAAACCAATGTCCGGGACCCCATCTTTTAATGTATTTTATAAATAACAAAAAATTAAAACTATACAATTGTGATAATATCTGTCATTTGTTAAGGCTCGGGTATGAATATCCGCCTCGAGGGTATCCCGTCTTTTTGGCGGTAACGAGGCTTGCCGAGATGCCGCCCATGAGAGGGTACCCGATGGGCGGATATTTTGATCTAAATTGCAAACATATGTCAGATATTTTTCTTGTATACTCTGCCATATTCTGCCCTTTTTAAAACGGTTTACCTCAAGAAGATATTTTTTTATGGAAATTAATTTCATTTCATTTGTAACTGTTTTCTATAGTGGCATATTTCTGCCACCAGATAACCATATAACTAACTTGTTAATTAAGAGGTTTACTAGTTACGTAACTAGTTAACCTCTTAATTAACTAGTTAGTTATAATTAAGGTTAAATACACCGTAGGGAACGTGTTACAGTATCGCGTTTTTCGGTTACAGTATAGAATTTTCAAGATGGAGGATTATTTATGGGAAGAGAGGTAGGTGATTTTTATTCAGGTCCATACTATACTAGTAGTTTAGTTTCTAAAAGCTGTTTTTGTGCTTTGCTTGTAAGGAACAGAATCCGGTATCTAGTCATATATTTCTTCATACCCTGCACCGCAGATTTATCTCTATATTGTCTCATAAATGTGCAGATTTGACGGTTTAAAAATTTGAATCGAGAGACCAACACATTTTTCTCCCATTCCGACATTATTTAAGCATGCCTAGATAAAGTAAATCTACAAAACGTTAGTCCTCTATGTTTAGAAACGTTTATAAAAGTAAATGACCAGTTGAACCTATTTTCCTGTTAGTAAAATGCGTTTGAAAAAATAAACAATGTTACAGTATAGAGCGAGGTTAATTTTGAAGTGTTACAGCATAGACCTAGCGACTTTCATCCAATTTTGTTACAATTTATACCCAGATTTCTGTTACAGTTTAGATACTTGCAAAATTTCAAACAAAGTTCGTGTATCCATTATTTTAATGAAATAACTCATACCTTTCTATTTAATACATTCTTGAAAGGCTGTATTATTTTTTTTCTTCAGCAGAAAAGTTATAGTTTGCTATTTTTCTTACTTTAAGTTTCAGATTGAGGCTTTTTGCAGAATAAGTAATGTCCTAAGTAAGGACTGTTTTCACGACAACAACAGTAACTTTTATCGAATTGTATTGAGAGAAGAAAGAGTATTGCTTGATATCATTACACATTATAATAATGCCTATTAGTAATAAAATAGAGAAAACATAATCCTTAACAGAAGTCCAACACGAAAAACATGAAAATGTTGCAGGCTCAGTTTGATTAAACCTGTTCATGGACGGTAGTGGTAACTGTAAGCTACCGTCCACGCCTCCTAGCATCGGCTTCACATTAGCAGAATTCACATTAAACATGAACTGGTACACTTCAGATTTTTTAACATCTGTGGATGTGTTCATAAGGCGGTTATCATGGAACCTTCAATGTGACACGTTATTGCCATTCTGTGAAAAGCGGCATATTACCCCCAGGTTAAAAATTGCGTGTGCCCTAAACGAGAATACAATGAGTGAAACTAAACAAAATGAAATTTTGAGAGGGGATCGGAGGTCATGAAGCCTGCATACCATAGATAAGCTGTCAAAAGACACAATTAACAGGCAGGCAATACCCTAAGAATGATTAAACAGTATTTAAGTGAGCAATACTACAACCTTTAATTTTATTTTAAGTTGGAATTTCCATCTACCATAATGTATTTTGTAAGTATTTAAAAGGGTTTATGAATATTTTCAATTTTGTTGTGTTGGAATTTCTTTAGGGATTCTGTTTAACTCTATTTTGTTACGTTTGGCTTTCTTGGATTTTAAGTTTCAACGACACTGAAGTCATGTGAAAACATTTCTGCTTTAGTGTAAAGAAAGACCCCAGATACCCTTTGTGAAACATTAAAGACACGAGCGGGCACCTGACTAGAACCACCGACCTTCCGTAAATTAGCTTGATAGATTCCTCACATACAAAGAATCCAAAGTCATGATTGGATTTCAACTACAGCAGTAAATGAAAGATGATTTGAAGTCGACGGCCTTATCCCGACTCTGCCACTATTATGTACCTCCATCAGGCTCACTAGAGAAAATATTGTAATTGTCTGACCTTAATTTATACTCTTTAATTTTCTTTTTCAGAAAATTGAAAACTGCTATACAGGATGTCTGAAATAAAGAAAAACGACTTTTAATTTAATAATGACAAAATAATCGTAACTTCAACAAAGAAGCATTCGAAATGACGCCATGATCATGATTTGATTTTGAACGCTTTTGGTTCGGGATGAGAAGGGTCTTTAAACATTGCCTTTTTTCAAAATCTTTGTTTTGGGTTTTCGTATCCCTGATTGCAACCGAAACCATTTGAACAACTTAATTGTTAGAAAGTCATATCAATTTCATCACATTTAGTCAAGTAGTTACTGAGCGGATGAGATTGCACACACATATGTACGACAGACGGACGAATAGCCATCGGGCCAATGAGCTCACAGAGATTTAAAAGTCTATGTAACATTCATACATTTTACCAAGTATATATAGAAAATATCGAAGTCTAAACTGTAACAGAAATCTGGGTATAAACTGTAACAAAATCGGATACAAATCGCTAGGTCTGTGCTGTAACCCTGCACAAATTACCTCGCTCTTTACTGTAACATTGTTTATTTTTTCAAACGCATTTAACGAACTGGAAAATAGGTTCAACTGGTCATTTACTTTTATAAACGTTTCCTAACATAAAGGACTAACGTTTTGCAGATTTACTTTTTCTAGGCATGCTTAAATAATGTCGAAATTGCAGAAAAATGTGTTGGTCTCTCGATTCAAATTTTCAAACTGTCAAATCTGCATATTTATGAGACAATATAGCGATAAATCTGCGGTGCAGGGTCTAAAGAAATATATGACTAGATACCGGATTCTGTTCCTTACAAGCAAAGCACAAAAACATCTTTTAGAAACTAAACTACTTGCAGTATGGACCGGAATAAAAATCACCTACCTGTCCTCCCAAAAAATAATCCTCCATCTTGAAAATTCTATACTGTAACCGAGAAACGCGATACTGTAACACGTTCCCTACGGTGAAATAGTTACGTAACTAGTTAACCTCTTAACATTATGGTTCTTTGGTGGCAGAAATATGCCACCATAGTTTTTTACAATAGCGTATGAATTAAAAACTTTTTCGTAATTGCGAAATGATGTTATCCAGGACACATAGATTCATGAAATTACGACATTTTAATTCATAAAATGCGCTTGAATGGCATTGTATAGCACGCGACTCACCTGGCACCCCAATGCCAGATGAAATTTCCGGCTGATATGTAAGAAAGAGGTAGCGGTGCAAGTCACGCCGGCATGTCCGCATCAACGTGGCTCAATGAAATTCTCACTCGGCATGCCGGCTATAATATATCATTTATTTGCACTTTATAATTTGCATTGGCACCCAGCTTAACAGATCAATTTGCATTCCAAAAATTCTGTCAATATTCTGTACGAACAATCTTTATTGAACCCTAATTGGCCCAATAAGCAGAGCAGCACAATATCGCCCGTTAATCTATTTCTCTGGGGCCACAATGGCGCTTTCAATTAGTGCTCGGAAATCGCCCACAAAACTTCTTTCCACTTTCGACGAAAACTCTCTCTAAAACTACGTCTACGTCTTTGTAGTACTTCCCAGTGATACTTTTGCCGTTTATCACCGGCACTTTTATTGCAACGCCTTCACCAGAGAAGAAAATTACATACAAAACCTTTTTTGCACTCAAAGACCGTTTGGCAATTATTGGGCGTTTGTTGTGTTTAGTGACCCAGATTTTGTTGCTAACTTTTCTGACGGGCTCAAAATAATGGACCCAAGTTTCATCACCTGTGACGACATTGGCAAACTGTTTTTTGT